ATGAAAAACATGAGTACCCCCTTTCCCCCCCCCCCCCTGTAAATCTTCCCCCCAAATCCAGCGACAGAAAGCGGGCCGCTCGGCGAACCACCGCGGACTGGGAGGCACAGACGTCCACCGGCGCCGATACTCGTTACACGCCACCGGCAACAAGAGTACACCGATCCCTCTGCAAGCCCGCGGCATCGTTGCTGGTACGGCCCCAGACGCCCACAGATCTGGAGCGGGGCCCGTACCAGGCACCCACCGCGGATCCGGGCGAAGTATCCAGCAGGGGCGGGGTTTTGGTGGTGGGGGTTCCGCCACCGCCCCGATGGGGGGGGTGGGGGGGAGCGGTGCCGCGGCGGCGTGGGGGGGTGGTGAGGTGAAGGACGTTGCGGCGCTCCGCCTGGGGGTCGTAGGGTCAAAGTGGAGGAAGATACATGAGCAGTTGCGTCGGGCGGTCGCGTGAGATGCTCTCGCTTGTGTGTGCGCTGCGGGGCACAGAGGCTTTTCTAGTCGTGCGTTGGCGTTTTGATGTGCGTGTGTGTGTTTGATGGGGGAATGGGTGTTGTGCTCGTGTGCTGTGCTGTGTTGTGCCATTTAATACCGTGTGCCGGACTTGGTTGTTGTAGTCTTGCTGCTCTGCTACGTCTATTCCACCGCATGAATGTTGGCGCGCGTGTGGGCATGCATGTATGTATGTACATCTTTACCAGGTTTTTGGGTACCACCTGTTTGGTTCCATTTCATTTGAGTGTACCTTGTTTAGGTAGGTTAGCCTGTGACCACGGGAATCGCTCGGTCAAGTGTTTGATCAGTACCGACAGATGAAGGTATTGGGTAGAGAGAGATCGGAACGCCCAAATTGTAGCTACACTGCGGGCCGGCTTGTGAATCCCTGCTCATTTTTATTTTATGGCTCCCCGTCACCGTTGGGAGAGGTTGATTTGTTTTGTGCCAACGCTTTCGGGTAGCTGGTGGTGATAATTGGTTGGCCCGAATTGGTTGGCCCGCACCCGTTTGGAAAACGAGCGTGTTTTTGATTTTGTGCCACAGCTTCCAGCTGTGAAAATGGTTTTAGTTCAGGGTGGTGGTGATGTTGTTTGTGCTCTTTAAACCGCTGTTGGACTCACTGCATGCAAGGAAAAAGAATTACGAAAACGATGACTGGTGTTGTTGTACTTCTTTGTGTCGAGTGCTATATATGGGCTGCCATGCCACGGTTCGAACAGACCAACCTGCACGCGGGAGGGAGTAGCCTTATTTTTTTTCGTCGATGAAAGAAGAGTTTGTTCGAACATCAAGAGTTGGTTTCCAGAGTTTCCCATCAACGGAAGAGTTTTTTTTTCGAACGTCATCAAAGCGTGCACATGATCGATGTTGAGGCCGATGAAGGACTGCCTGCCGTGTGAGCGTGTCGTGTGGTGTGTACGTGTGTGTTGAGTGTTGACGGCTACATGCGGCCGTGAGTTGCCTTGAAGGGGCTGTCACCCTGTTTAACACAAGAACATCAACCAATAAAGCTAGAAGATTGATTTTGCTCTATCGATACACCATGCACTTTCATGTGGTATTTATTAGGTGCGAATAATAGGGTAGCAGAGGTTTTGAGAGCAGGTGTTTGGTTGCAGGCCGTTCATCTCAGGTAGGTGTTATTTTTGGGAGGGAGAAGCGGTTACCATTCGTGTGCATCATCATTACTAGGTCGAATGAATCATCAGTAGTCTGGAACATGATGGGCGACGTCCCTGCCTCCTTGCTCCTTGCTGCCCGATCGACAAACCGTGCTTGTTACCCAATCCACAGGGCGCAAGTGATCAGAGGTTTACAAGAAATTTCTTCATGTTGGTTGACTTACGAGTCAAGATAGGCTAGTGGTTGATCAATACTGTTGCACCTGTAGCATCGTTGTCGTCTCGATGTATGTGTGGATGTGTGTTCGTCCCGTGTGTATTCTGGCGCCGGTTGACAGGCCTTTCGGCGTTTATACCTAACTTGTCGGCCGGGGTCACACAAACGCTTCTTTTTTTTCATCTGATGCTTCGTTTATTTGAAATCTTACCGAAATTAATAATGGAAAAAATGCAGGTTGCGCCATCCCACTAAGCAGAATGAATGGGTGTGGATCACACGCCTTCGTGTAGTGTACCGGCTGACACCGCCAGCGTCCAAACGTAAGTAGAAAAGGGTGGGGTGCCGACAAACGGCGGCACTGTGAAATGCTTCCCAAAGGAATGTCCTCATCCGTTGGTAACGGCCCGCTCATTGCTACGGAGAGGAGGTTTAAGCTGTCCCTAGCGCCTCCGAAATATTTCTAAGGTATAAGGTAAAGTTCGTATGCATACTTGACTTTTTCCTTTTGAGGTGAACGTCACCTACTAGGTCATGTTGAACTGTGGCAGTAAGAAACCAAGCTATTGTGCGAAATCGCAGAGAGCATGTTTTTTTTTTCGAAAGGAGGGAAGGCGGGGTTGATATACACCTAATCTAGCCTTACACATTGCACCGCCGACACATTACAGCAAGCAGGGAAATGGAAGTAGGTCGAATTTCAAATGTTATTTCAAATAATATTCCATTTGTAACATACATGAGTCTTGACGCCAATATTACCGACACTAGAATGAGCCGAATGAGCCCGTCCCTTCCGACAAGCACGCCTGAAAACCACGTCGAGGATTGAGTCCCGAAACCACTCCCGGTCCACAAGCCACCCCCCCTGCTCCACAAAATCAACTTTCCTTTCCTTCAACATGAAACAAAATTCGACGGACACACAAAATGTCCTCCCCCCCGAAGTAGGCGTTTTTCTCCTCCAAGTCAAGGGCCGCCTCATTCATGCGTTAGACGCCACTAACCAGAAATAACTACTTTCAGCCCGCACAATTGCTGCGTTGGATCCCAAGCCAGCGTGGATGAGTATGGTTGCATGCATCAAGAAACGTTCTACGTACAAAAAGCGCTTCCCACCCACCCTTGCTTAGTGCACCAGGGCGACAGTGTGCTGCCAGCCTACCGAGACGGAATCTACGCGCGTCCCTTCTGGTACGCCGGGCAGGGCGAAAGGGGTTACCCTCGCGCCCGCGCTCGTGAAAGAGACTCGATGAAAGGTCGGAAGATCGGCTCCCGTACCGCCAGCAGCAGTTGACTTGTCGGTGATCGTAGAGGCAACAGGCGTGCTTGCCGTCTTAACGATGGTGTCGTTGAAACCGCTGAAGAACGACCCGGGCTCCGACGCTGGGATGTCCACCTGGCACAATGTCATTGTTCGGTTATCGCGGGCGCGTCAAGTGTTGCCAAGAGAGGGGGAAAGGGTAGGCATTGGAAACTTCGACCAGGTGCACAAAACAACTACTGTGTGCCTTGAGCGTATCAGCAGCAGCACCAGACGGCAACCACATCAGCAGGAATTCCACTATTTAGTATAAAACGTGTAGGGACTGGGACTACCCAACGGCGAACCAATACTTGTTGACACGGCTGCAATAGGGGTATCGTATAAAACAAAACGCACGGTCCCTTGAACCTTTCGTTTCTGCGGTTGAAAATCAACTAAAAACAAACCAACCAGAACCAACAAAAAAGAAATGTGCGCTCTATGGTTATTCCCCGACACGTAATAGCTGCCCCCCCTTTGCCAAACTCTCTCCAAGTTCCCACCCGTAGGGCGAAAAAAAGAAGAGAAAATTCGACAGGGAAAGGAGACAGCATCGCCCAAGGATGGGAATATAGAGCCCAGTGCGGTGCGGAGCCGCGTCAGGACGAACCCGACAGCGTTCTCGACGCGTGCAAATCTGGAGGTTTAATCTCGAGCTTTTCGCTGCGCTTGTGCCTCATGAAACGAGAAGGTTAGAGGGCTACAAAACAACCCGGAGCCACAAACTCCCCGCCGCCGAGGCGGGGGAAGAGGATGGCTGCGGATCAAGTGTTTCCCAACAATTTCTCTGAGCGCGCTTCAAGGCGGGGGAACGATGCCGCGGCCTGTGTAAACCACGCGTTCGTATCCCAGCTCTTCGTTGTTGTGGATGGCTGTTCACGTGCCAACAACCCGACGGTGATTCAAGGACGATACAGTACACAAGAACATCCACGGCGCCCCCTTTTAACTCAATCCTCAACAACTTGAAATGATTTCCGCATCGAGAAACACGATTATTTTCGGACGTGGCAGCCCATACGAGCAACGTCTGCGAAAAAAAAAAAAACTTCCATGCCGATATTCAACTCAAGTCAAAGGGCTTGTACATTTGTTTGGGTTTGGCAGGACCGGGGGGATAGGCAACCCGATGCTGTTCAGCAGCACGGTACGTACCATGATTGGGGGATTGTTTCGGGGCACGCGGATGCCTTACTGCTATTGTAGAACGCACGCAGAAATGCGTATTCATTGTTCCATTTTGTTGTTGTCTTTGTTCTACCCCCCTGGATCGATTTTTCACAGCTCAACCATTCCACAACTCTCTTTTCGTGTTCGGCAGAAACTAGATAAGATCCCACACACCCCGGGGCCATTTTCAAAGCTCGGTTTCTCCACGACGAAGTGGATGCCGATGTCAAACGAATCGTTTTCGGAAAGCTATCGAGGAGGCGGTTCCAACGCTGCAACTTCCGGCACCATCACCGCTTTTTCTTGCCGGGTAATCGAGCATTGAAAAAGCGGTCGCGGGAGTGTGATATCTCATGCAACCTAAGGTATCATCAACCTCTGGTGGCGCTCGTCATACGGTATCGTGTTCGGCAAACAATCTCATCTCACTGAAAAGACTCCAACACATCCCTTTCGACTATGATTATATCTCGAACGGTACTGTAATCTTTCTGCGTATTTATATAGCTTATTTTCTTAAAATAGTACTCATCCGTATTCTCTGCTTCCACCCCCCCGCTCCTCACCTCAACCGGCGTCGGAACCGTTCTCCGAGTGTCGGCCTCGAGGCCCGACATGAGCACCCTGCCGTCCTCCATCCTCAGCAGGGTGTTGAACGACGAGCAGAAGGCCTCGACGGCTCGCCCTCCCCCGACGTCCACCTTGCGGGGGTAGAGCTGGTCGTGATACACGGGGACCCTGCCGTCCGTCTTCACCTCCGTGCCCTGCATCTTACCCCAGGTGTAGACGTCTCCGTTCTCGAGGATGGCGACGGCGTGGCTGAAACCGCTGCGGAGGTCCACCACCTTGCCGGGGAGTTCGACTGCGGGGGGGGGGCATGGGCAACGGAGGGATGGGGGGGGGGGGGGGGGGGGAAGGCCCATTTTGTTTTTTGGGCAAAAAAAAAGGAGGGGAAATTTGGAAAAATTTGGGG